ACATCGGCTAAAACAGCTGCATTTTTGAGCACTCAAAACATCGATTTGATGTTGATGGGTCATTCGCCATATAGTCCCCGGATGACTTCTTTTTATTCCCGTATTTAAAAAATAAAGTGAGAGGTCAACGTTTTTCGACACCTGAAGAGCGGTTGATTCGTTCAGAATGCACGTTTCGGAGATACCTCAGTCAGAGTGACAAAAGTGCTTCGACAATAGGTTCGAATGCATGCAAAAGTGTAAAGATCTTGATGGGGAATATGTTTAAAGGCAGTGAAGCGATTTTCAATGATCAACATTTATTTTTGTTTTCTAATGCCGAAATATAAAAGGCAACCTACGTATACCCTACCCTCATTTCAATTGTCTACTAAGAATTGGTTGGAACCAACAGGGCAAAGATGATACCCTTGTAGCATCATTAGTGCTGTCACTAATACTTCAAGGTATCCTTTCAGCTTCCTCCTTATTGCTGCCACCTCACTTTGAAGAGGGATTCCCATAACTTTATCTTGATAGTAATAATAGATAGTAATAATAATGGGGATTCTTTCAGATGCTCAGGAAGGCAGGAGGATCCTAGTAGTGAATTATTATCAAGTATTGATAAATTCAGAGAGGTACTTGTTTCATATTACGATTTGCGTAGAGTGGAATCAAATCATCCAAGCATTCTTATATTTGGAGTTTTTGGTCATAGTTTTTGTCTCTTTCTTCAAAACAACACCAGGGTCATGACCTTATATGCTCACGACAACAGTGTAAAGTTTAAAGGGAGGGCAGAAAAGAAAATGCAGTGTGAGCATTACAGTAATCCGGCACGGCATAAACCATTGTAACACGCAAATTTTCACTCGTTACATATACACCGCGTCGAAAAGGGGCCTTGAGCATGGACACGGGGATGGCCGGTAGAGGAACTGGGGGGGGGGGGCGGAGTTGTGTAAGAGCCGAGGGCCCGTACCGAAGTTTCGTTTCTGTAAGAGGAGGAGCGATTCTACATAAGAATCGCTTTCCTACACCAGTATCCTTCGCAGAGCTGCAGATCTGCAGACTCAAGAAGCAGAAAAAAAGCAGAAGAAGGCAGCAAGCAGTGAAAATAGAATGTGGCTTTCATTCTATGATAGTAGCGAGAACAGAAGAGTAATTAGTGAGAATAATCAGGCGTAGGTAGCAGGAGCAGGACCAAGAGCCCGCAACGTGAAAGGCCAGTCTAGAGTTATAGCCCTCTAATATGCATTCAAACATATGCATGCGAAAATCATTCAACTCTCAGAACCTTCCAATGGATGATCGCGACCACGAATAACAGGAAAATTTCAACTGTTGAATCGCGCAATAGTGGCACGTTCCAATGAGCTCATTGCAGTCGCATATGCCTCACGCGCGAGAAAATAGATCAAAGTGCCGAACCTCCCACCATATAAACGCGATCATTGCGCGGCGGCAGTTTAATGTGAGCGTGATAATCAGGAACTGATGAAGCCATTAATTACAACAACTGAAACGAAGCATAGATTTTTCGTGTTATCTGTCTGTACACATTTTCTGCACTCATGAATAAGGTTGGCAAGCAGCTAAATTGTCATCAAAATTGAACCTGTTCATGGAAGTATAATGTTGCTGGTTTCATGTCAACAACCGGAATGATTAAGTTGGTTTATGTGGAACAATGATCGGCCCTAAATGATCTCGATTGACCACTTATATTTCCCAATGGTTCGGAAATAGTAGTACTTGAGGTTAGAGTGATTCCGTGAATATTACGGTTGTCTCTTGCCAGAGCGCCCCAAACTATTTTTGCTGGTGATGAGCTGGGATTGACCATGTAACGAAAACTCTTCTGTCATTCCTGATGTCAGAACAGTATCCCTCATTGTCATTTCGAGACCAAGTGCTTTTTGGGATTCGATTTTGGCAGATGTTGGATACTGGCAATCAATCGTGCTCGTGAGCGGTCGCGTCTCGCCTGCTCTGCCGCCTTTCCGGCTCTCCTCTTGCCGAAAACAAGCTTCTCCGAGAGAAGAACAACCTTTTGAAGTCTCAGTTGAACAGTTCACTCTCATCATCGAGTGAGATCGCACCGGAAGTATCCAGCTCCACTTCACAAACGGTTGACGCCCATGATGATGGTAAGATTTCTTCAAAAACCGATCCCGATTTGAGCCGATCGATCGTAATCTCCGGCGTTCCAGAAGGTCAGTCACCCAACTCTATCGATAGAGCGCAACATGATCTTCAATGTGTATTCACACTGCACAACTTCTTAGGTGTGGAATCTCTACCTTCTCTTGTTTTTCGTATGGGTGTTAGGAATAATTCTCGTCCTAGGCTGCTTTAAGTTGTTCTATCAAATGATCGATTTCAGAAAGAAGTGATTAAACGAGTTCCTCGCATGCGATTTTTCGCTCATAAGGGGGTCCATATCTACCCTAATCAAAGAGGAAAGGATGCGCAGGCGAAAAGCCTGCCGGGATGGCTCTCTTCAAGCTGATTGCAGTGTTATGAATGGTGCCCTACCGACAGTTACGGCTAACTACTTAACTACGGATACTTGCAGTACAGAATCCGTTAATACCTTGAGAATCGGATTACAGGGAAACCTCTGGTACTTCCTCGGCCCCAACCGAGACTCGAGTGTTTGCTCTCTGATATTCGTTCACTTATCAAAATAACTGTTCTCTAATTTTACTCGGCTCCATTCCAGCTACGATGTTGTACTTTTGACGGGAACATGGTTAAAGTCGAAACATGGCACAGCTCATCTGCTAGGTATTGTAAGTCCCCAACTCGAAGTCATCCGCTGCGACCGGCCTCATAAAAAGGGAACTGTTCTCATTCTAGTTAAAAACTACATTTAATTAGTGATTGTTTAAAAAGATTCGTTGAAAGATGCATAGGGAACAATTGTTGTCAACTTCCTCATACGCGATTTCACTTTAAGATTAATAGTAGACTACAGAACTCCACTCTGCGATGCCCATAATTCCAGCCTATTACTGAAGGTTATAGGTGGTTTTAGCAGCTATGAGGTAACTTGCCTTGTGGTAGGTGATTTTAATCCAGCCGATGTCGATTGGAATTCTACTGACTGTAGTGGTGGGTAGATTTCTAGAGGTGTTCCACTCACATAACTTTGTAGAGCTTGTAAAGAGTCCCACTCATGGCCCCTCGTATCTCGATCTAATATTCTATAATGACGCTGCGCTTGAGAATAGAAGTACTCCCTCCTATCGGCATCAACGACCATGCGTCTGCTAGCTTCACCTTAAATGTTAATCCACTTGCTGTTGCATAGAGGGAATGGATTAGAGATTTTAACAAGCTAGGTGTGATGCTATGAATCTCTTGGGCTCAGCTTGGCTCACTACTGTAGATACCATAGATGAAACGTATGAGTTACTTCTGTCTGTCCTTCATGATGCAGTGAGAAGATATGTACCTTTTTGTCTTGCTAGCTGTGCTCGGTACCGATTTCCCTCATACCTGGATAGAATGATTCGCCGCCGTTGTCAACTATGGGCCAGAGCAGTAGCTGATGATAGTGTACTGTCTAGACCTACACTACCTACTGGAACGCCTACAAAGTTTTCGATAGGAAGGTGCAAAAAAGTATAGTCAAGTATAGTGCGCACTTAGAAAAAAAAATAATTGAGTCGAAGAATCCTACCTAATTGTTCGCTTATATTAATAAACGTCTCGATTAGTCTACGAATATACCAGCTCTTCATCGGCCTGATTTAGAGGTTGTTATACTTGGTGAACTCAAAGCTGTTTCTTCTGATCAGTTTAAGCGGGCTTTTACGGAGACCAGTAGCTCGATCCCTGTCGAATATTCCTCTTGCGTATTATGGAGTCCTCACTGTGGTTCATAAGGAATATATAAGCTATTAACCAATGGCCGGACTCTCACTCGTTCACGCCAGATTTCCTTCCCTTGAAGTTCATCAAAAGAATTGCTTTCTACATTGCCTTTCCTTTTGGAAACCCTCTTTAACCTCTCCTACATGGGTTCGGAAGTTCCACCTCGGTGGAAGCACTCCTTCATAATACTCATCCCTGAAAAGCCTCTTTTTAGTAATTCTGCGTACTACCGGCCAATAAGTACAATATTACCTCGATTTCCGCAAGGCCTTTCGTAAAACAGTAAAGATCAGACTTACAGAAGCCCTTGACTGCAGAAAGCGAGTTTATGTCATTTATTTTGACTTCGCCTAGGCTTTCCGTAGGGTGCCGCATGAAAAATTGATTCACAAGCTGCTGGAATCACTTGGTGTTTATCCACTGATTGTTCGCTGGATTGAATCCTTCCCCTCCGGAAGCACGTATCAGAGGGTCGGAAGCAAGCTCTCGTCTATGCATAAGATTCCCAGTGGCGTTCTCCAGGATGGGGCGTTGTCACCGACTCTTTTCCTTGCATACACTGCTGACCTTCCTACTTACGTAGTTAGATATCTAGTGTGTGCCATGTACGCTGGTGATATAAAACTGGTATAAGGTTATTGAGAACCTTTCCTATTGCGATATGCTGCAAGCGGCCATCGACCACATTGTCTCTTCGTCCACATTATGGGACTTTTGCCCCGATAGAACCAAAGTGTTAACCATCGGAGATAGTAGCACTATCTAACGCTACCGAATGGGTTCTGTAATAATAGAGCCAGTGAATGAAATTAAGGACCTCGGATTTGTCCTGTCGGATAAACTTGCCTTTGACTCGCGCTATAAGGCCTTGGTGTCTAGAGCAAATAATAGGACTTACAACCTTCCAAGACTTCACAATCGAAAAACCCCGTGATCCTACTGGAGCATACAAAGCTTACGTGACACCAATTGTATAAGCTGATACCTCCGTCCTCTTTCCATTTATGAAAAAAGGCGTAGAGCGTTTGGAAAGTGTACAAAATAGTTTCGCTCGAAAACTTCCTTCGTTGTTCCGCCCAAGGTTTCAAGTCTTTGCCTAGAGGGATCGAAAGGGCCAACGTTATGCGTTACATTCTTTAGCCAAACGATCTCGTTATACTTACTTCGATACTTTCTTGGACGACCCGACCATCAGCACAGCGATTGGCTTTGCGCGGGTCCCAACTTCTTTTCCATTGTTCTCGATCTTGAGCTCTGGTTGTCCAGTGCGTAGTCACCCTAAAGGACTCCGGATCATAGACGTTGTTTCGATAAGCTAGAGAATCTGCCCATCGTAAAGGAGGACGGCCATGCGGCCGCTTCCTCTCTCGCGGGCACCATCGTACAGTGGCCGAGTTCCATCGTCCATCCTCCCTTCTCATTAGGTGTCCGGCAAATCTGTGCTTCGCTTCATCGATGTGAACTAGAACGGCTTTAACCTTCGACATTGCTCTGACGTCGGAATTATGAAGTTTGAGCTCTCGGTGCCGATTCAGCGTCAGACCCAAAAGACGATGTTCAAACGAAGCCTGGGTGGACATTAAATGTCTTTCCAGTGATTTCGTCAGAGCCCAGGTTTCTCCCGCGTACTGAGGGCAGGCAACACCGTTGAATTAAATAGGTCTGCTCGAAGTTTGCAGTCCCTGATGCAGTCCTCTAGTACGCTTCTTATGGAGTTAAATGCTGCCCATCCAGCCTTGCGACGTCTTGCTAACTCTTCAGTTATGCCGTTCCTCATGTTAAGCTGGCTCCCGAGGTACACGTGCTCGTCAACGTCTTCGATAGCACCTCCTTTCAGAAGTACAGGGGTATCGCCTGAAAAATGGTTTCGCATTACTTTGGTTTCAGAAGTATTGATGGTGAGACCACAGTGGCTTCCTTCCTCATCCAGGCGATGCAGCATCTCAGAAGCGTGTTCTGGCGAGTCCGTGATTAACACGATGTCATCGGCAAATCGCAAATGGTTAAGACGCACACTGTCGATGTTAACAACAAAGTTACTCCAGTTCCAGCGACGTATGACGTGCTCTAGGCAGGCGAAAACAGGTTCGGCGATATCGAATTCCCTTGTCGTACTCCTTTCTGAACTGCTACTACAACGTCATTGTAGAAAGGATGGAATACCGTTGTACAGTTTGAGTAGCATTCTCGTAGTACGTCCTCGTAGAACCTTTCAACAGCTTGGTCCTCCAGCGCCTCCTAGACCTTTACTGGCTCCACCGAGTCGAACGCCTTCTTGTAGTCAATAAAGGTCATTACAAGGGGAAGGCGATGCTCACGGAAAGCCTCGATAAGACGTCGGCAAGTTGCGATGTGGTCGAGGGTATGGGTAGGGTCGAAAACCCGCTTGTTCCACCGGTTGAGCCTCTTCTAGGGTCCTACGGATACGTCCGACGGACACGTCCCAGTATACAACGTTTGAATACTTTATAAAGTAGTGGCAGAAGCGTGATAGGACGATAGTTTGTTAGATCTTTTTTGTCGCCCTTCTTGAACAGCAGCACCGTCGAAGACGGCTTCCACGCCGTTGGAACCGTGGGTAACGGAACTTCTCCCCTATCGCGGCGTTCTTCCTTGCGGCATGCGGCAAATGTCACTGCAATTACCGTACTCACCCCGCCTCCCGCCAATCGATAGGATGCGATATTTTTCGTTGATTGGCTTGCTTTTTCATTGGATTTGATCGTTTTTTCTTCTGTTTCTTTTTAGTTTTCATGTTTATTGACTTGGTTAATTAAAATGACCCTTCCTATATAAACGACGATCAAGACTGCATTGGAACTGAAAAGAGCGGTCAGCCAATTCAAATAATTAAAGGACTCTCTACCTCACAAATTGCGCGCTCCAATCTTTCATCGCAATCCTGCGATAGGCGGCTTGTGCGGCGTGTGCGACGCCGTGTTAGGGGAGAAGTTCCCAGACCCTGGAACCGTACACTCCGCCAGGTAGCGAGTGTATCGCCTTGCAAGTGCTCGATATAAAGGAGGCCCGCACGCTTGTGGAAGCTCCACGGAGATGCCGTCTTTCCCCGGCGCCTTGCCTTGAGGCATCGTTTCAATCGCATGACGCACTTCTGATGGGAGAAAAGGCAGCGCTTCCTCCAGAACTGATCTTCTTTCTTTTCTCGCAACTAAAAGGTGCGATCTGAACAAAGTGAAGTAGAACGTTGTCAAGATTTCTTCCATTCCAGGTATGGAACAGCATCGAGTTCCATTCGCAGTTTTTAAGCATGGAATCTTAAGACGGTGCTCGGCTATCTTTCTTCTCGCCTTCCTCGATCTCCGCCTGTTCTCTGCCCCATTTAGGAGTTTCGATCTTGCAAAATTGGTGCGATCTTCAGCCATTCGTTGCCTACACAAGCTGCTTAGCAAAGTGTACTCCACGTGGTTTTCCTATCGACCCATATTTCTTCGCTTTTCGAGTAGTGCACGAGTAGAGGCAGTGATGCGACGAGAACTGTGGTTGGGAGCAACACTGCGACAGCTGTTTGCGATTGCGTTTACGGTTTGTACCAGGTTCTCGTAGTCAGCCCATGTCATCCATCACTTCAAACAACTTTCTCTTGCAAGCCTCGTGACCGCATCTTCGTCCAGCATAGTTAGGCACGGCTGCCTTGAGCGTATGCGGGCAGACGCATCAAGCCGCATTCGCGGTGAAAACGCCCTCGCAGTAAACGATGATCGCTCCCCGTGTTGGAAGAAGAGACAACCGCAACATCCGTCATGATTTTCCGATTGCACAAGATGTGGTCGATTTCGTGACAGTGTTGTCCATTCGGCGGGATTTGAGTCCATCTTTTCCGTGGTGCCTTGAGGAACTGACTATTGCCATGGTAGAGATGATGCAGTTCACAAAAACTCGCTAATCTCTCCCCGGGCTCGTTGCGCTCTTCTGCCGAATGTGGCCCGATGAAGACCTCGCCGTGCTTCCGTGATCCAACCCGGGCGTTGAACTCTCCCATCACAACGACGTAACCACGTTGCCTACGCACGAGCTCCTCGAGTTGTTCGTAGAAGTTGTCATGCTGCTCTTCTTCGCTGTCAGCTGTAGGCGCGTAAGCCTGAATGATGGTGAATTGCGAATCTATCGACAGGTACGCGGTTAGTATAGCGAGTCGGTGCCCATGGAACGTTACGCTCTTTACGTGCTTGGAGAAGTTCGGAGACACAAGAAAACCAACACCTGACGTTGAATTCTTTTTTCGGGCTCCTAAGAACACTAAAGTTGCGTCAGTCCAGGTGCATGAGAGAGGTTCCTTCCGCTTCTTCTCGCTCAAGCCGATTACATGGCAGCTGATGGCAGCCGAGCTGATGCTTCGACAGTTATAGGTGCAAGCTATCAGCTGGCTCACTCTTGTCCGTCTCCTTTGGTAGCCTATGGCCCTGAGATTTCTTCGCCTTTGGCTGTGTGCTGATCCAGCGCTACCTGACTGGGCAGGGACAGCCTGCAGGGGACTAAGGCGAGGATAAAAAGTGGTCGTAGTAAATCTTGTCCCACAGGATAGCCTCGCTAGGGCGTTCCTGTCGCTCAAAGAGAGCGCCGTCACACCTTGGGCACGTTGGATTCTTTAGTCACGGGAGTCGGTATGTTGTTCCGGCGTAACTCTATTCTGACGAATATTCCGACCCCGCCTCAAGCTCGTACACCACTGCAAGGTAGAACCCATGTACGATCTCGTTATGGCTTTCAAAATTCTGAGAGGGAGGGTTGCTGTTGACTCTGTTGATTTTTTTACTTTGGTAAAATTGAGGACTAGAGCAAGCACGGTCAGAATAAGATCTTCAATCGTAAGAACACAGATCAGAGTAAAACCTTTTGCTGAAGGACGGCAACTTTTGTTGAATGAAACTTTTGATGAGGATATCCTGCGCTTGACTCTCGGGGTGTTCCGCTACGATGGGGTATTATTGATCGCCATGACTATAAGGTTTCACTGAAATACATCAAATTGTTTCAGTGATTGTTTTAGTATAGCATACTATCAATTGAAGCGTTCTTTGGTAAGACGTTGTATGATCTTGTTTGGTTATGGTTGTGTTTTACCACGCAGCTATGCTGTCCACGAATGAATAAATAGATAAATAAATGTGGTCTCAGAAAACAAGGTGCATATTGCGGGGTTTCCCAGTGATACCCATCCAACGCCTAGATTTACCACACGACATTTGAAGGCCTCTCGCTGATGTCGAAGGATCTTCAAATGTCGGCTCCGCTCTAGCGGTTTGACATGAAGAATAAAAGGATAAAATTTTTGACGTTAACTAGTCCCGTAGATGGAATGCGCCCCTGCAATCTTGCTCTACTCAGAATTGGTGTGTCCCGTTTGAGTGCGAGTGTGGCCTATACAATGACTTGCGGTGGCCAGCCGATGTAAAAGACAGCGTTTTTTTTGCTCCCAAACGAGTCTTTTTCCAATCAAGCGAGGAATGGGAGGTTTCACTGGCCTAGGCGAGTCGTCTTGGCATAGTTCTTACAGTAAGAACAACAGGCAACTCAGTTATATTAAAAAGTTACCAAAGGCAGTTTTAAAAATGATCAGCTGACAACTGTCATTTTCTTTGAAAACTAGAGTATTGAAAGCCATATCATTTTTAGTCACGTATGTACACAAAATACGTTACACGGTTTCAACCTAAAGATCCTTTATTAGATGAGGCCTTCGACGATACTCTACTTCCTTTTTCCACTACGTAGAGTGTCACGATAAATAATTGAATGTGCGAAACGGAAGCTCTGATAAAAAATTCTATTAGAAATTTCTATTATATATACTATGCAGCGACTAGAACGAATTATTAAAAATAGTATGCAGTAAACAGCGAGGGTTGTCTCTAAAGGACGATCGTCTCAGAACCACTGAGACCGAGAAGAACTTAAAGAACGAAATGGGACGAGCACTATGCGTATGCGGCTGCGTCGCGGCAAGTGACACATCGCTAACCATTTGGGCTGATGCTAGGTCATTGCTTACTAATTGGCGGTTGCGTAGCGCGCTGAGCACGTTATGCTTAGGTGCTTACTACGAAGAGTTACCCTACCCTAGTGAATGGCTACTGAACATTGTTTGGTCATGTGCTACTGTTTCTGTTGCATGCCTCTTCGTTTGTATTTCTTCCAACATAACTGCTGAGCAAGTACCTTCGCTGATACAGTGTTGAGCACTGGTTCAGTGGTATGCCAACTTCTGTACAACTGAGGATACTTCGTTCCTCGGGATGAGTGATCTCAGTTAAGTGTCAGTAAAAGATAGAAACTGAAGAGAATGGCAACAATAAGAAAGTAAAGCATCTCAAGAAAAATTATGATTCAAACTGGAAGAATTTAATAATGCTGGTTGGGAATTTTCTTCTTGTGCACATGTGTGAAATGTGGAACGAAGCTTCATTGTTGATTTGAAGCGGTATCCAGTGGAAATGACGGTCGTGCAATAAGACTCCTATATTGCTTTTATCATAACTTATCCTTCCAACTTATCCACTAATATCCATAGGAAGGCAGATCGGTCAGCTCGTTTTGCAAGTTACTACCACATAAAACATCGCGAGTTGTTGAAAACAGACTGATTCGAAAGCTCATGGCGTTTCGCACTTTCCTGAATTTCCGTAGATGGCACTCTGTTGTGACTATACAAGACTTTTTTTCCATGTACGAGTGAGTGCGGCTTCTTTTGACACTCGCTCTACACACGGAAAGCTACAGACCCCTCTACCAAGGCCATAAAATTTTGCTTATGAGCCAGATCACAAAGTTGAAGGCTCACGTTCACTTCGAAACCTCTATGTCCCCACAAACGTAAAAGGTTTCTTTTGCGAAGTTACGGGTCCACCGTCGCTGCCATCATCAGGCCACCGCAAAGGATCGCTGTCGTGCCTTTCACGGACTCGAATTCCTTTCAAAGGATAACGGACTGGTTTTCAAAGCATCGAGAAGTACGGTTCAAAAGCTCTTCATTACCGCCTTTTCCTAGATGGTGCGCACGTTCTATCAAATACGATGACGCTACCTTCGGTCTGAAGATTCGCTGGGATCATGCTAGAGAGCGTTTGATCCGATGAATCATTCAGAACCTTTCTCTTTGAAGCCTCTTAAGCCCACTTTTAGTTAAGGTTTAGAATTCCTCTTTTGCTCGAATGGAGCTCCACTCTCATTCGGTCGGCGAGAAGCAAAAAAAACTTTTTCTAATACCTTTTCAGGGCTCCTAAATTGTGAGGGAGCTCCGTAGATGCCCAGTATTGGACCCAAAAACGTTTTGCAAGCGTTCAGAACACCTTTCATGGAAAAGAAAAACGAGTGCATGCATCAAGGAATCGAACCTTGACGTCATGCCTACCATTCCCACCCCACCAGTAGCGCCACCGTTGCAGAGCCAGTGCTTTGCTCGGCTCGGTGATCCGTGAGGTACAATGGTATGACACAGGCAGGCGTTGGCCCGGTAACTTTGTTCCCAGAATCTTTTAGCAGATTTGCAACACAGATTTGAGATCAGCGTTCGAAACCATCTATGAGGGTATACATCTCATCTTGAATGGCCACTGCGATCGAGTATCCTTAGGTGTGGTACAGTAGGACCGGAATTGTTGCGTCGCGGCGAGAGATGCCGCGCGCGAAGGAATGTAGCAGAACGCAGCAGCAAGCAAGAAAAACATAAAGGAACAAAAGAACTAACACTAGAATCGTGCCGAAAGTAATAATCTCATATAGATTGAGCTGTCTAAAGAACGCTAGAAATGTAATAACGAGGCGAGTGGTGCTGCGCGCGGCGAACCGATTACACAAAATCGACCCTACTGCTCGCCTCCTAGTATCCCTCACTTGTTACCTAGTTACAATGAGAAGTTTCCTGCTGAGAAACCTAATTTTTTATAGAAGCTTTAGTTTTTCATTGTTTTTATTCTCTTCATTCAATAACTTTAACTTCCTGCATATCGGTATGCGGGCAGCGCAACGATCATGGAGTTCCCACACCTAACTAAGATCGCCTCGCGCCCTCAAGCTCTGCCTTTGTTTCACTCTCCACCTAACCAGCTTTTCTGGATCATTACACAAAACCGACCCTATTGCTCGCCTCCCAGTATCCCTCACTTGTTACCCAGTTACAGTGAGAAGTTTCCTACTAAGAAACCTAATCTTTTAAAGAAGCTTTAGTTTTTCATTGCTGTTATTCTCTTCATTCAATAACTTTGACTTGCTGCATATCGGTATGCGGGCAGCGCAATGATCATGGAGTTCTCACACCTAATTAGGATCGCCTCGCTCACTCTCCACCTAATCAGCCTATCTGGATGCATCTAAAATTATAGGAGAGCCTCCGACGCGGGTCGCGTGCGCGGCTCATCGCCCTTTGTCAGAAATTGCGGCAACGGGTTAGGATCATACAAAACATATTTCCCTTCTTCCTACCGAATGATTCACACGTATTCGCTAAGCTTGCAAGGTATAAATGTAGTGGAGGGGGGAGGGGCAACGCCGTTTTGAAAGACTGAAGGCCAGAACGCAGAGGATGAGGGGTAGTCAACCTTACTTGTGCTTAGAGATGGTTTTTAGTCAGAGGAATATTGTTATCTAGCTTTCAGATGGGAGGAGCCCCGGGGTGAGTGAGAGATTATCTCGTGCAAAAAGCTGAAATTGTATAAGAATTTAACATCCAATTGGCTTACCTACCCCGGAGCTCCTTCCCTTCTCAGGCTTAGGTGAAAAATACACATAACTTAAAGAGGCTACGGAACGTTTCCAAGCACCATAACGGGCTCGGCTACTCTTGGATCTTGGCCCACTGCCGCATTTTTGGCCATGGGACCGGACCTTGTCAACAGGCTTCCCTTAAGTTTCCAATGTTCTCTGCATACGATGTCCAGCGCTGTCAACTTGTGCCTGGCAACGCTGCGTTTTCAACGCACGTCGTGGGACTCTGAAAACGCCCAAACTTAGTCAAAGCGCGCAACGGTCTCAGAGAAGAAAAGTGGGGCGAACCCTACGCGTAAGCGGTTGCGTCGCGGCAACCGGATCATTGCTAACCATTTCCTTTCAGACTTGGACATTGCTTACAAGTTGGCGGCTGCGTAGCGCGTCGGGGCATGTTATTCTAGGGTGATG